TCTTTGACACTACTGAATTCACTTGAGCTTTCACTAATTATTGACACAATTGTACTTACAGTTTCTTGACACTTTAACCTTTGTCACAGATATCCTCTTTATTTACTTTTTACTTTCAACTATACTTCTTGATAATAAAACTTTTTCATTTGTCCATAGATTTCACTCTACTACTTTCTTTTTTATTTGCGTTTCATCCAAAAACCGTCCTTCGGCTCGTCAGGACCTTGTACAATTTCGGTACAAAATCCCAGGAATCGTGGGGAGATGAATAAAATTCACACTCGCAGAACGGAGACATTTATTTCTAACCAATTTTAAATATATAAAATGACAGAAATATTTTATTATCGCGATGTAATTCGCCATAACGCCATCTAGACGTCAAAATTAATATAAGTTGCAATGTTCTAAGTAAAACTACTTTCCCGACAGCGGCTTCGCCCACGTGGTCTAGTATTATACATTATAAATTTTTCTCTTGTATCACTCTGTATATTGATAAAATTTCATAACAATCCGTTATGTAATTTAAAAGATTTCCGTATACAGACATTTCAACCTTGCTGTACAAGGTTGAAATAAATAGTTGAAGTATGTTCGATGCTTTTTAACAGAGTTTAAAATCGAAAAGGAGGAGGTTATAATATAGACGGCGATGTATTTATTCTAATTTTTTTTTATATGTGCACCGATTTTTCCGTCAATTATCGATCGATATTTTTATTTTTTATTCGACAGCTTGTTGAAACGAGGTGATCCCATTTAAATTTTATCGAAATCCAATCAGTAGTTTTCCATTTATAGTAAAACAAAATATGCTTTTCATCAGATATCACCTAAATATTTTGATGGTAAGACTGAATGATGATATCATCAAAAAATTAAAGATTGCGTATTTTTCATTCATTCATTCATTCGAAATCCGAAAGGAGGAATGTCTTTGTTTATAATGGGCATGTATACTTTTGTAGGTAGGTATATTCACGTAACTCAGTAACTGCGTGATCATGGCCCTTGAAACAGCGCTGAAATATCGGTAGATTAACAAAAACAAGGTAGAAATCCATCTGAGCAATCATTCTAATGTAAACAACTATGGAAGCTTAAAACAATATATTTAATTAATAACCTACAGAAAACCTCCGCCCGACATATCAATAGCACTTTCTTGAAAAAGTCGCTTTTGAGATAAGTATTGTATACCACTTTTCTAAAGTTTGAAGCCGCTTCGACATTTTGAAAAAAAAAAAACTAATTTGGTATGCGTTTATTAAAAGTTATAAAATATTCAAAAGAGAACTTTGCAATTTAAAAAAATATTAAAAATACTATTACTATAGTAATATTAGAGCAGAAAAAAAATCAGTACATGTATCATAGACAATTTGATTGACACTTAGTTTGACGAGAATATATCAAAGATTTTGATTTTAATTTCGAGAACTACTGTTTCCTGCATTACGTGTACTAGAAAGCTTATGTTTTCCCGCGGTTTCGCCCGCGTATCACGCTCTTCGTAGGTCAAGAATTTTTAAAATAGATCCAGTATTTTGAAGCCTACTCAATGCATACAAACAATAAAATCTTTCCTCTTTATAAAACTACTATAGATTATTATAATAATTTATCTTAGCTCGAAGCTGGTCAATTTTCTGCATTAACTTGGTTTATTATTGTTATTTTTTTTATCTAAATTACATGCTTATATTTTTATATTATATTATAGGTGTATTTATAGCTGAAACCCCAATGAAACAACTGTATAATTCAGCATGACTTCGTAGGGTTAGTAAACTGTCCACATTAAATACGGAATACCGTATCGAAACCTCTTGTATAGCGTAAGAGTAATTAAAACTCTAATGGCTCATTTAAATCGGGGTGTATGCTATTTATGTGTCTGATTTTCATAGGTTTGTTGGTTTTATGGAAATATTAGAGCCCGCAAAATGGCTTGCGGGCCCTAACGTTAATGATAAAAAAACAGACACAGATAATGAAAAGGCGAAGAGTCACTTTAATTTACACTATACAGTAATAGTAGACTGATAATAATAATTTGATAATGATAATAGTAAGTGTTAATAAAAAAAACTTACCTGAAGGCCGCTTTCACTCTTGTCCACTTCGAAACCTTCGATTTCTCAACTTCCTTACAAAATATGCCTTCAGACCTTCGCCGCAGTGGTGTTCCTGGAGGTACGTCACTGTCATCGCCACCTGCTGACCTAGACCTCTGTTTCCTTAGCAACGTACCACCAAACTTCGAGTGTCCTTTCCATTTAGAACCAGTCCTTTTCATACTCCTACCAGTCAATATCATTGAATCGAATATACCCTGGCCATATTCCGATTCAAAGTCAGCATCTAACAACTCGTTAAAGGCGTCTAAATCTTTACATTCTGCTTTAAGTCTTTCATTCTCCATATTAATTTTTTTATGGGCGGCATGAAGTTTCTGCAAGTGATTCACATCCCGGAGTCTTTTTAAAATGCGGGAGTTGTGCTCTTTCAAGGTTATGAATTGATCTAAAAGTTCCAAAAGCTTTTCCAACTGATCTAAAGCTTCTACTGTATTTTTTGTTCTGAGTGCTAACTCTTTTCCCCGATTGGATATTGGGTCGTCGTGGTCTCTCAAACGTTGCAACATGCTTTCACATAAAGTTTCCGCATCAGGAAAGTCAGTTTCATGAAATAGACGTGTATCATCAGGAGTGACACCTGCCGTACATGGAGAAGATCCCTCAGCATCCGAGGGAGTTTGGGGAGTTTTAACAGAGAGAGACGCGGGTGCCTCACCTCTCCTTCTTTTATGTAAAGACGTCCCACTCGGAGGCAAATCTGCTGATTCCTTCGGTGTCTCATTCTGTTTCTTTTCTTCGTCGACATTAACACCTCCGGTGACGTCACGACTTTCTTTTAGTGACGTCATTTTCGCTGAGAGCGTCGTGCTGTGTCTGGACTATTTATAAATGAAAATAAACGCACGTGCATTGCTTCCTGGCGGCACAACGAGGAGACTATTTCTACCGGAATGCATTCTTTCTTTCTTTTTTTTCACTTATAAAACTTTGTTTTATAAAAGAAGTTAGCACTAGTGAGTAAATAAGTTAATATAATATAAATTATTTCACTTTTGAAACGTATAATGAAATGCAAATTGATGCAAAACGGCATATGTTTATTTAATCACATAATATCTGAATATTTTACAGTCAAAGAACGTTTAAAGTGCAAAACATCACTTTGGCACCTTAAAGCTTTTATTTACTAAGATAAATACTGATTCACTAACACTATACTATAATATAACATGACTTTAAATAACTGTTTATTAAGTAATTAAATATAAAATGTGTTATAATAGACCGCCCAAGAATGCGTACACGCATGTTAAGGCGGGCGGTCGGCGGATAGCGCACTGACGAAGAAATCCGAATATTTCCGAATGCGTATTTTTAACTTCACTCGCTTGCGTTTAAAAGAGGCTCACTTGAATTCTATTGCCAACCGTATAAGAGTTGTAGCTGATGTAAAAGAAGGATTTGTTTAGTTGATTCTTAATGCTAAGACATGTCTTCGGATCTGGGCGCCCATTAACCCATTTTGTTGGAAAAGGAGTAAATAAATTATGTTTCGTTTTGTCTATTAGCTCTTTGAGACGGATTTGGGTATTTTTCTACTGTTTTCGTGAATGCTCTGAGCATGTTTTTATAGTTCTCTGTCTCAATGATAAAAAGGCATACCGAAGAGTAAAGTACATTATAGGGAAAGGCACACAGATAGTATTACTTGTCCTGCTATCTGTCAGTTTTCTTTTCCTGGTAACACGTGGCTGTATCAAGATGGTATAATATTATTTATAAATAATAATAAAAACTGAGAAACAAACATCTAATATTTTCAACTTGATACAATTAAATAAGAAATTATTTTTTTATAGCTCATATTTTGATAAATGTAAGGGATTTAAGAATTAAGATATTTCTTATGTCAAATAATGTTTGTTCACATCAGTTGTAAACAATGTGATATTTCAATTAAATCCATATGAGCATCTGAACCACCTAAACTTTATGCATATACAACGATTCTTAGCGTACATTTAATTGATGGATAGGATAATGATTTTCGATGACAGAACGAGGTTTTCAAATCAGATAACACGAATTACACAGATATAAAACTTTTTAGGAAAGCTATGATAAAGCAACTTATTCAAACTTTTTATTAAGATTTTTTTTTTAAATGGCTGTCATGTATGAAGAATAGAATTTTTAAACACAATTGACAGCAATAGAAATAGAAGATCTTACCCTTTGTCAGTGTTTAAAATTATTGTTGTAAATATGTCGTACGTGATCTTGTAGTTAGTTTTTTTTTTATATTTTTTAAATATCTTCAACACTGGCGGTAGGCTAAATGGTAAGTTTATTTTATTTTTCTATAATGATTATTCGTATATTACACTATAAAATAAATAAACATAGAACATATAGATGTTTTATGTTTATTTTCTTTATAGTGTAATACTGTTGTACTGTTTTTCGCAACTTCACATGTCACCCGTGTATGATGTAGAGTTTATAAAGAAAAAAACCATGATTTTTCTTGAATAAGTATTTTATTCTCTACTTATTTCATCTTCATATAAAAATTTGCATCTGTGCGTTTTTCTTTTTAACCTGAAAACGTCGTATTTAGCTTTGATATGATTTGATATAATGTATTGTAGCTAAGTCTTATCATGTAGGATATCTGTTTTAATTCACTACAAAGTTTCTCAACTGCGAACGGTTCCGCAATCTAGAGTTAGTTCATATTTCAATGCACCATTGTGTTATTGCAACTTAGGACTTTACTCTTAAGACTTGAAATTAACTAAAATAATTACCACCACAATTCTATAAACTTAACATTGTTAGTAAAATAGGATTTCTTAAATAATAGATGTGTGCTAATTCTACTTAGATTTAGTGCGAGCGGTGTGCGGCGTGATGGAAAACGACGAGGACAAGCAGAAGAAGCTGAACGAAGATGTAGTAGGTTTTATGCGCAAGCGCAGTGAAACTGAACCACGCTATGCGGCTCGGTTGCTAGCCTACGTTGATCTCCACAGGAAGTGAGAAATTACTGTATAGTATTATAGCCTATATAGGTTTATATACTCTTTCATGGATATAATGAATAAAAGGATAACATTTATGCAGTCCAATGAAGCGTAAGTAGAGTTGTCTTATATTTTGCTATGTATTTTGGTGTCTAAAAAGCATACGTAATATTTGCATTAGCTAGTTAAAGTGGCAATGGGCACATGGGTATTCACAGTAGAACAAACAATCGGTGGGGTAAAGAAACACTAGAGTGGAGACCGCGGATCTGCAAACGTAGTTTAGGAACGCCCAGGCTTGAAGGTAAGACTTGCAAGGTAGGTGGCAAAAACTGGATGAGAGTGATGGAAGATCCACTAATGCAGTTTCCATTAAAATACAGATTGACCTCTTGACTCTGTTATTGATGAAAGCTGCATTAGAGGAAAGCAATTTTGTTTTATATTATGTATTTGACAATATACGCGAGAGAAAATTCATTTTTCTCAGCTTCTTTTTGCTCTAGACGATCTGCTTATTAAACTGTACATATGTTAATATCCCATGAGTAATTAAGGTTAAAGTCACAACGTAAATCTTTAGTGCAAGATATGTATGTCGCAAAATATAATGTTATTTGATTTTTTCATGTGATTTTATTACAAAATAGCATGTTCTATTTAAGTTTTATTATGCAAGCGTTCATGAGTCGTGGTAAATAAAATTTGCTATCATTTATTTGTAGGCGTAGTCGTGCAGCCGCTGCCAAACTACGCTCCGAGACTGGGTACGAGAGGAAAATATCGGCCAATAGAAAAAAAGCGGAGATCAAACAGAAAGAGAAAAATGCAGAAAACTCGTAAGCCTATTGGATTATCTATATTGATCAATACTTCGATATGGAGTTCAAGGACAGTAGTTTATTTACATTTTTGTTAAAACTTTTGTTTTATATGAGATCTAATTACATGATAAACAGAACTGAAGAAGTCATTGTTAAAAATACAAATTTAAAGGTAGGTAATAGAATAATGAGTACTGTTTTCTCGCAACTTCACATGTCACCTGCGTATGATGTATCGTAGGTGAAAGAAAATTTAAAATCGCTACAGTAATTTTGGACCCTATTCAGTGCAAAGTTGTTTAATACTCTAACCAAAAAAAGAAACAATGAAATCCCCTTTATAATATTACGAGTACTTTTATTATTATATAGATAGGCACGCTTAGGTATAGATAGATGACAATTTAAAGGTATTCTTAACCTACCTACATGTCTCACATATTGTCATTTGAATAGATCGCAAATATATTTATGGGAAACTTCAGCAGTTTTTTTTTTTGCTTTTAAGGACCACCATGCCAAACGCTGTGCTCAGATCACACTGTGGTATAATGGGGTCAGTATAGACATTTTCGAAGTACCTAATTAGTCGTTTTTAGCGCAGTGCATGGTCTGTTAGCCCTGAATCCTGATAAAACTTTTTGCCTATAATCTCTAAGTACAGTCAAGAGCACGTCCAGTTATACAACTCTACTTGATTTTAAACCGTGTATGCATAAAGGGCAGATTTTAAAATAAACTGACAAATTGGTAGCTTTTTCTAATATTGCCAACTTTTTCCAGGGAACATCATGCTGTAGATGAAGAACATGTGAGCAAAAAGTAAGATTTTCATTTAATAAATCAATAATTATTCAGTAATCTTTTTCAGTCAGGGAGCCGGTCTTTCGATGAACTTAAAGAAGACGAAATTTATGGTCATCTCCGGAAAAGCAGACTGCAATGCCAGCATAAGGATATCCGGTCAAAACCTAGAAAGGGTCAAGAAATATAAATATTTGGGCATATGGCTGAATGAGGATTGGAGCAGCGAGTTAGAGATAAAAACTTGGATCGAAATAGCGCGTAATGCTTTCAATTCGATGATTTGCTCCATTGTTATATCTGGCCCCTGGTATTATATGGATGTGAGGCATGGACCCTTAAAGAAGATCTACGAAAACGCATAGAAGCTTTCGAGATGTGGACTTATAGGCGCATGCTCTCTATAAGCTGGACCGAGAAGGTGACCAATGTCCGAGTTCTCCAATGAGTTGGCCAAAAACGCACGTTTATGGCAATTGTTAAACGGCGTAAAGTCTCGTATTTAGGCCATGTTCTTAGCCATCAGAGGTATGATCTCCTGCAGCTGATCATGATGGGCAAAGTTGCGGGAAAGAGAAAGGTCGGAGGAAGGAAGAAGTCGTGGTTGCGAAACATCCGAGAGTGGACCGGGATAGCGAGCGCTGCTGAGCTGTTCCGCCGAGCTAAAGACAAAAAGGACCTGAACATGCTAATCGCTAACCTTCACGAGTTGGAGAGGCACCTTTAGAAGAAGAATCTTTTTGTCATATATTGCTTCAAGCACATTAAATATGATTGATATAAATTATGATATAGGGACTAGGGAAAAATCAAATGATCTATATATGTTATAAAACATTCTGTATTCTCCTAAAATCCAGCAACAAGCCGAGATTAATTAAATCTTCATTAAATTAATGTATGGGATGGGCTAATTTTGGAATCGTCGCAGTATTACATAGTGTACAATTTTTCAGTTGATTATGATGGATTTTTTTACCCATGACACTGAACCAAATTGACTATCAGTCATTTTGAATCGAGAAACCAGGAAAATTCTAATGCTGGAACATTAGAATTTATTACAAAATAATAGAATCTCGACGCGTTACCGGGCACTTAATTTACAAATATTAAAAGCCTTTAATCTAGAACTAGAAACGTTTAAGTTTAAAGCATTGGCCGCCAAAAGCAAATTGACAATGGCTGAATAACGTCAAATTAAGACGTATTGACTTCTTTTAGTCGGTTAATGATGTAACCCTGCGACTATATTTAGTCTTCGTTTTATAGAGTCTGTAAACGTTTACCCTAGGTCCCATTCCGTGGAACCATCAGATCGTTGCGGTCGACGTCGCCGCAAACGCTGTTCGTGTAGTGTAAGTAATTTAGCGCACTCTTTATTAGCTTTGCTAGAACAATTGAATAGAACATAAGTTTATCTAGACATGATCAAGTTAACCAAAAAAATTAGTAAAACGGATATAATGTAAGTGATCAAATTCCAAAAACGCATTTTTTATAAGATAAATCTCTAGTAGTCTAGACATTAAAGCCCCTCTCGTAGTCTTTATAAAATGATCAGATATATAGATAGATATATGTATATAGATCAGATAAAATTTTCAAAAAAATTATTATTATTCATATTACGTTGTCATATATCGTATTGTCGTAAATCATCATCATCATCAGCTCTTTAACGTCCCCACAGCAGGGGCTCAGGGCTTCCTTATGAATGGTTAAGGAGGATGGGCCATAACCTTCCACGCTGGCCCAATGCGGATTGGAGGGTAATAACGACTGCAAATGCAGCCGATACCAACGGCTTAACGTTACTTCCGAAGCACGGAGTAGTTAAGATAATTTTTTTTTGGTCACCCATTCCGTGACCGACCCTTGCGAAAGTTGCTTAACAACGATACAATCGCGGGCCACGGCGCTTATCCACTACGCCACCGAGCTACTCATAAATACTTACAGTAAATACTAAATACTTATATTATTTTCGTAAATACTTAATTGAATACTTAATTGCACTGAAAAATATGAGGGATTTTTTCTTTTGATTACCAAGTTCTTTCAATTAGAAAAAAAAAACTTAAAAACTGAAAGTTCATATTGTTATTAGCCGTTGAGAATTTCAATTAAAAAGCTATGAAATATTTATATTGCCATTAGAAACTCATCTCTGTATAATAATTTAGATCAAAATATTTGAGAGTAGTAAACAGTGTTTAATATTTACATGCACATATAACTATAAAGATACGATAACTAAAAATCTTTTGTTGTTTTAATACCGATACCGATACGCAAATTTGTATGTCAGTGTGGTGGTCGCCGTCGCCGCCGCCGCCGCCGCCGTAGTTGCCGCCGCCGCCGACGCAGTCGCAGAAGGCGCCGCAGCTGCCGTCGCAAGAGACGACGCAGTTGCAGAAGGCGTCGTCGTCGCCGTCGTCGTCGCAGTTGCAAACGCCGACGCCCAGGCTGCCGTTAGGCTCGTCGGTGTAAAATTGGCATTTACCGATAGGAAATTCTTGTGCTGTTTACTGTGTTGTCTTTTGGAATATAAATTTGAACATTTTGATTATTGCGTTTATTTTGTTATTGAAAACCGATCCGTAGAGTGGTACGTACCGCTTTACCCGATAACCGTGAATGGAAGTCCTTTGCCAATACTACAGGCAATACTTAATAAGTCTGTTTCATAGTTTCATTTTCAATAACATTTGGTAAGCACGCAGTTGAAGGAAGGTAGTGAGTATGTGAATGAATATTTGAATCATGCAAACGCAAAGTGGTGTTTTATATGGGCATGAAGTGTAGGAAAGAGTGAGTGTGTATATGTGTTTGTTTGTGTGTAGTAAGGATAAGGGTAAGGGTACAACAGAAAATTGAATGTATGAGTGAGGTGTGTATGGAAAGTGGGTGTGTACGTGGGTGCCTGTCGACATCGCTACTGCAACTGCGGCTACCCTGCTGGTGGTCGGTCGTTGAGGCCTATCCCGCCTATCCCGGATGGGCCGGGCGACCGGCCAGTGGGGGCGTGGCTGCGGACATGGCATGGGGGCCGGGGATTCTCTCCGCCTGGCGTCGGTGGACTGCGTTATGCTTGCATGGCGCTGTCTTGGCGGCGCCGGGGGCGACAGAGTCCCATTGGTAGCGGGAACGAGAGTTCTGCAAGGAAGACCCGAGGGAACAGCCTTGGGGTAAGCCCACAGGAAGCCCAGGTGGGAGGCCCGGGCGGCATTCTCGAAATGGAAGGCGGCAAGGGGGGTGGGATCGCGTATTAACGCATCCCTCCCTTCTGCGGATCGACGGACGAGGGCTGACATCCGCACCCCCTAGGATTAGTCCATGGGGACGATCCACCGTTTGGGAAAAGGCTGTTATTCACCAATGTCTTTTCCTTCCCGCAGAGAGCGACTCCTCTTTCCCCCAAGAGTAGTTCCAGCGCGGCGGAAGAAACCGGGCCCTCCTTGCAGGATACCGGGTTCTTCCTATCCGTGTGAGGTGAACCGCAGCGGGTTTTACCAGGTAGGCCTTTCACACCAACCTGCCCTTTTTAAGGCGGGGTGGAAGGAGAGCCCTGGTTTGAGGCTTAAAGATGAAAATACATATGTTTATAGAATGGAAAGAGGTTAAAGATTTCTAGGTTGTGTAGTTCTAGGGACACTAAACCGGCTGCGTCAATTGCCTACTTATATTATTGCAGTTTTTGGTGGATTGGGGAATATGCAGCATTAGGATGCAATAAATGACAAAAATGAAATTGGTATCAAAATAACTTTATTGCTCAAATCAGCCTTTCAATTATCAAAATTAAGTATTAGTTCTATACAAAGTTACGCTTTGATCATGATTTCTTCTAATTTCTTCCTGCTAATATCGGGAACGGTAGCATCCTTGTGAGGCTTGCCTACTGGCAGGAGGAGCTCCAGTCTTTCGTTTGCGGGTCTAGAGAGCAGGTCTCGGAGTCGTGCATTGCAGTTCAGCGGAGTTGATGTGAGTGCCACCAAACCACAGTACTGGTGCAAACAAGTAAAATCTAAGTAAAGTTTACAACAGATAATCAGTGCCGTGCCGAAGTAAGGCAAACGAAACTAATTTTATTTACACTTCAAATAAATAACATTAAAATTCTAGCGTTCCGGCTCTCACTGGTGTGCAAATGTTCATACCTATGTTCTCATAAGCAGAGAATTTTAAATTCCTTTCTTTTGCCAGCTTTCTATAACAAGTAATGTAGATACAAGTAAATTTGTTTTTGAGCTAAAGATCAAAGGTCAATCTCATAATGCATCTTATGTCAAAGTATAATTTAAAATTTGCATTTTCAAATACTAGGTGTTCATATAGATACGATCCTATTTCTATACCTGAATAGCAGCCAGCAAGATACCGGCAGCGATAGCAACGCTGATCTCGCTATAATAATGCATCCTTTTCTTCCCATCTGGTCTCCAGGAGTACGCCTGTCGGAAGACGAGCAATAACGCTGGTGCATCAGACAAGTAAGGCTTAGTTGATGTTGTTGCGAAAGGCTTTAGGTCTGTCACCCACTGTCTGAAAGTAAAAAGAACCAATTAATCTACTTTGAAATATTATATTTGAGTTTATCACTATGGATTTTCAAAGTGTACACCGTTTGTACCTCAGAAGAATAACTAACTAATAATTTTATTTTTCTGAGGTTTCTATTTTTTTTTACGTACGTATTTTTTTATAAATGATTGTACTTTATGAAAGGATAAGCATTTTATTTTTATTTTTTTTAAACAAATAACAATGCTCATGTTGTTGGAGCTTCCTCTTTGTAAGCAAGCAAAGTTGTCCCTTTAAATAGCATTGTTATATAACTAAAAAGTTTCAAGTATTTATTAATAAATAACGTTCAAGATCAACAGCAAATCTATACTAAAAATATCATCATCATCATCAGCACTTTTACGTCCCCACTGCAGGGGCTCAGGCCTTCCTTATGGATGGTTAAGGAGGATGGGCCATGACCCTCCACGCAGGCCCAAAGCGGATTGGAGGGTATTAACGACTGCAAATGCAGCCGGGACCAACGTCTTAACGTGCCTTCCGAAGCACGGAGTAGCTCGAGATAATAATTTTTTGGTCACCCATCCCGTGACCGACCCTTGCGAAAGTTGCTTAACGACTACGATCACGGGCCGCGGTGCTAATCCACTACACCACCGAGCTACTAAAAATATATCATTATGATATTTTTTGTATTATTTATTTGGCATCATTAACAGCAATGAGCAAGTCAATCGCTTACTTAATTGATATCTGTTTTTTTTAATAATAATGAAAAGTATAGTCTACTATTTCCCTGTAACTTCACCTTCGTGAATTTTAAAACCACAACAGATTTTATAAGTAAATTAACACCTCTATATAGTAGGGAATTAGATTATTAGAATTTTGTAGGTTAAATTCTGAAATTTGTAGTAAAATGCAAATAAAGAAATAATCAAACATTTCATCTATATGATATTTTATAGTCCATATACTCTATGAAGAATTCCTCGCTCATTCTTCCGTTGTACATAAAGCATATCATATAGTCACAAATTATCGAGTTTCCATAAACAACTCTAACAAAGTTAATGTTGAAAATCAATTATCGTTTTTTGAAAATCAATTTTAAATTTTGGATAGCTTGCGGCGGCCGCTCTCCGCCTCCTCTTTTACTATTATTATTATTATCAATGAACATTTTACTATTATTATCAATGAATATATATAATGAATAGTCCTATATAATATTTTTTTATTAATTTATACATCTAGTGAAACATTCTTGTTTATTTCAGTTTTCCAAAGCTTTAATTACCTATCTGAATTTTTAAAAGAAAAACTATTAATCAAATATGTGCATAATAAAACGAGAACATTATAAAATAATTTAAGCGTATTAATTGATTAAATCGATATAACGTTCTCGTATCTATCGAGTGGGCGATCGTTCTTCTGTTGTGCTGCTGATTATAAATTGAATGCTCTTCATTATTTAATTGAATTATGCTCACAATTCTTATCAAGCTCGTACAATACGAACATAAAGTTAACGCACAAATAAAATATTATAAGGCAGTACGTGAAACTATTACTCGCAGTTGTACAAACGTCCATTAAATTGATTTGTTGTTAGTATTTTACTTTTTTAAAAGCGATGTTACCAAGAACAATATTTTTCCTATACAAGGTTCTCTGACATTTTTCTTTGACTTTACGGATAATTTTTTTCAAATTAAATATCCAATAAACTTTAATGATCGTTTGTGCAACTAGTTTAAAACCCTTTTTAGAAATGTGAAATGGAAAAATAATAACAACACAGGAAATGATTCTTTGATTAATTGATGAATATTATGAATATTGAATTAGGGTTGCGTGTTTTTCGATATTGAGTGAATTTTGAATTGTCTGTAACTGTTCTAATGCTTAGGTTATAGAATCTTTTAGAAACATAATTATATAAAAACATATAGAATAATATTTTTTTTGGCTAAGAGTTCTAATTTCAAATTATTATTTATTATATATTATAAATTTTACAATATTAGCCATTTGTTTTATAGTTAGCGTTCTTTTTCAGTAGAACATTTCATAGCATTCGAATATTTTTCACCGAGGTGTATATATTAAGAAATTATATGGGGTTTAAGTATCGTTGTGGCAGCCACTTGGTATTAGGGGCATGTAGCAATACAATCAATGACGTTTACAGAATTAACACTATAAACGAACGCACCACCCATGATTGGTTTTCCCACTTTCGTTCTTAAAATTTTGAAGTTAATATTGAACCCCATTGACGTCCGAAAACTTTGGTCGACAACGACTATCAAAGTTGAAAGCTGAATTAGCAGCAGCTTCCGATAAATTATATTTTTTAGCATTAAATAAAGGTCCATTAGTCCGTCAAGTTGGTAAGCTGAAAACGTGCCTAACACTATTCAACAGGTATGTAAATACATAAGCAAAGAAATGTTTTACACTTTTCAACAGTTACCTACCTGCGATATATAAGCGAAGAAATTTAGAACTGAATCGTTAATCATGACGCACAATGTATTCGGTTCGAAATAGCAAGCTTGTTCAGCACGCGTAGCATGACAAACTCGAGAAACACTTTGTCTATTCTCATTTGTCATTTTCTCGGGTCGAGAGTGAGATATAGAATTGGCGCACCCGAGAAAAGTGACATTTGAGTGTAGACAAAACGTTCTCGAGTTCGTCATGCTACGCGTGCAGTACTTTAAATATTCTAAACCTAATAGTTATCCGTAGAGAAGTAATGAACGCTGTTTGGTGCTCTTTAGTGTATAATATAAATATACTATGATAGCAATAAAGTCAGTGTTTATCCAGCAACTATTGGTTTTAATCGTCCTCCCGATGCTCAACCATTCCAAGTGTAACGCCGGTGTAATTCATCACAGCTTCATTACTTAACAGGATGAGTATTACTGCTGATTTATATTGTGAAGAACTAAACACAATAATGGAGAAGCTCGCACGTTTCAACCAGCTTTTATCAGCGTTAGTAGGTCAGCTCCATAACGTAACATTTTTGCTGAATTGTATACTTCTATTTTTTTGCATGATTTTGATAGTAAATTAATGATAAGTGATGTGATGAGATGGCATTGTATGATTACCCAGATAAATACGATACACAGACAAGTGTTAGCAGCAATCGACATGCACTAAAATCCTGGCATTGCCTGGACATCCGCTTGGCGTAGTTTAACTCCTCTTCCTCTTCTACTATGCTCCTAATAGCTTCTTTCATATCAGGATTCTGTACTATCACAAAAGTCCATGGCTCTGTATGTGCTCCTGATGGAGAAGTACCTGCGGAAATGCACAGACGTATTTGTTTAAAACGATAAAAACGCACTATAAATTATACGATTCGAGCTTTATGACGTAGGCCTATTGTTATGACCTATTGCCTTTTTTACAGGGCAGAAATTTATGCCCTACCCAAGGCCGGACTTTATATTTCCACATTTTATGATTTTTTATATTATAGACTTTGATAACATATCCGTTCCATCGTGGAATGTAATTTCAGAATTTTTTGAACCTTGAAGCACTACGTCCGTGTATTATTTATGAAGTATATTGTTTTGGTTCTGTCTTTTAGCCACCATGTAAGAATTTAAATATATTTTACTAGCTTGTGTGAAGATTATAGTTTAGTTATTTTAATTGTATTTCAGATTTATTAAACAATTTATAATTTATAATAGCGTGTTTTCTGTGTCAAGAGCCATTATCAGACTCGAGCTATAACCTCTCTTTATTAACGAAAAAGTAAAAGAAGTTGCAATTGATGTTAACTGCAGCCTTGCTGCAACCAAAGCGTTTACCAAATAGAATTTGTTATAAATATAAGATAATAAATCTATGGTGGTAAACCATATACTTTATTCAAGATTATCTATGATCTAAGAATCTACTCAACTTTTATTTATTTAAATAATTTACTCTTTGTCATTTATTCTTTGGTCATTATCATTGTAATATTTATATATATTCTTTATTTTTTACTTTACAAAAGATTTTAAATATATTGTGATAATACATGGTTTTATATAGAAAAAAATATACGAAATTATCATGTATTCTTCTAATTATCATTCTGAGTTATTACTTAATACATTTGTACTCACTCGTGTGCTACAACAAGCGAGAACGAATGAAAATAATCAAGAAATTCGATGAATATAATAATGAGACCGATTATGGCTATTTAAATACTAATTTCATAATAACAAATTACAAAAGAGCATTAAGTGACATAGAAAAAATACGACAGGACATAAACAAAATTAATTCAGATGCTGAGATTTTTAATTCGATCTTTCTTTCTGTTAATAGTATAATAATTGTTATTGTTGTTCAAACACACGATAGAATAGAATACTTAACAGAGGTTATTGACTCGCTGAGGACTGTACGTGGAATAATGAGAGCATTGGTAATATTCTCTCATGACTATTACAATGAAGATATAAATGAGCTAATAAGGCAAATAGATTTCACATCATTCATGCAGATATTTTATCCCTACAGTGAACAATTGCATCCGAACTCGTATCCTGGACAAGATTCTAAGTACTGTTCGAAAAATTGGAAATGTACACCTACTAGAGGCCAAAGAAATTCCACCCTGGCGCAAGTAAAGCTTCATTGGTGGTGGAAATGTAATCATATATTTAATCATATTGAAATCTTGGAGAATTATAATGGCTTAGTGATGTTCTTAGAAGACGATCAATACGTGACTGAAGATTTTATATATACAGCAATGCTCTTAGAAGGGATCAAAGCTTATGAGTGTCCAGAATGTTACATGATAAGTGTGGGTGCTGTACGGCCGCAACTTTTTAGTTATCATTCGACGAGAAACGTTATGACTATTGAGGAATTCGGTACCACTCCGTATAGTATGGGGATAGCTTTTAATAGAACCGTCTGGAATATTTTCAGGACTTACGATAAACAATTTTGTTACTTCAATGATTATAATTGGATATCTTCGTTAAGATATTTAGGTAAAAAAACGACTAATAAAAAAATTCTTATGTTTACTATAGCTGGTCCAAGAATTTTTCACATTGGACGATGTGGATTGAACAATCCAGGAGATGATTGTAACGTGTCAAGAACAATTGACTACTTGCAGAAATTCTTCAAACTGATTAAGAAAGGGTTGTATCCGAAGAACTATGAAATGAGGCAAAGCAGCCACAAGCGAAGGAAAATTATTGCACGTGGAAAATTTAACGACATTAGGGATCAAGAGCTCTGTGCATATTTCGGTACCAATAATAAAATCGGCATTTGAAAAATGAATTTGTTTGATTAAAAAAAAGCATTGAATTCATTTCGAATTTGAAATTCTCAGCAGCTAACGTAATTAGTATGAAATTGTAATTCGGATCGTCGCTTAACAAATAAATATTATGTGTTTAAATTCACGGATATTACTATTATCTCTACTCACCGAACAACATATTATTCCATATTTAGCAATATAAGGTCATATTGTGAGTATTATATTATTATGGTAATCTAACAATGAGTACATCTGTCATACAATAATACAAATAGAAGTAGATTATATTTTATGATAAATCAAATTACCCATATATTATTACGAAAGAGGATAATATTATAGTGGCCAATGGTCTCTTTAATTTTTGGATAGATAGAGAACTGTTTATTAACATTAACGTACAACAAAATTTGAAATAGTCACATACAAGAGGCTGTAATAAAAAAATAGGATTGTAACATATCCCTTAAAAATTAAAAGAATTTAGTGTGACAACAAACAAGGTATTAAATGTGTGTTGCCACAATGCAAAAAAGCCAAAGTTCCACATACGATTTGCTCATATACGCAACTGTTCTGGGTAGCTCAGTGGTTAGAGCAGTCGCGTACGTAAGGTCGTAGGTTTGTATCCCATCTCAGAGTACATATTAAGCATTTTCTATTAAGAATAATCTCCCAATTGATTTTTATAATGTAAGGAAGTATGAAGAATATCAAGTTCTCCTCTTACCTGCAGTTTTAATAAGATTCTCCAAAACTCCTTCCGGAATAGGCTCAGGACTAAAGAACCTGACTGTTCTTCTGTTAGCCATTAGCTCGTAATACTCTCTAGACCTCTGTAGGATCTCGTCATCGGTCCTTTTGAGTGGCTTAAACGGCACGTGTGGAGTGTCTTCTGGAATTGCTGGTATGAGATAAGGTTCGTCACCTTCGTCATCATGGAAATCCCGTTCTAAAAGAAATAAAATGATTTGAGATTTCTTTTTATCTAATATAAAGAGTATAAGTTTAAAGGGGTATTATAATAGTGGTTAATGTAAGTTTTACGTTAACGTGGTCATTAGTGAGCACGTTAAGAATTTGTATGGAGGTTTGTAGTACTTGATACTTGAAAGTTTAATTAATCTAAATGCGCTCACAATCGAAGGTGAACGTTACCCTAAGGACAACACCCTTATACTCTCATACTCTCTGAATAACACGTATTCTGTTAGCTAGAAATTATTATTCTAAACGATATTATAAATGATTAGCCATTATAACGTTACTTTACCCGCATAAATTGCATGTAACTGCGTATGATGTGGCTTTCCGTCAGTGAAAGAATTTTCATAACCGGTTCAGCATTTTCGAATATTACCCCCTACAAAACGCCTACAAAACGCCTACGCCTATTTACTTCATAAATAAACAAACTGTTTTGGCATACGACAAAAAGCGGCTCAATTTTGAATTGATAATTAAGTTTCGTGGTATGCCAAAACGAAAGTTAGAGGTTCGAAGGAGATTAAGTAGATACCGCCCTAGTTCTAACCGTTAATATGTCATCTAGCGATCAGCCGACGTTACTAAATGACTCGGCGGGCAGCTTCCGGGAAACCAAAAATTTTGGACACCGGGGGGAGTATGGTTGCAAAGCTGAAACTTACAAGAATTTACGGAAGGCACCACCAGGAGTGGAGCCTGCGGCTTAATTTGACTTAACACGGGAAATCTCACCAGGCACGGACACCGGAAAATTGACAGATGAACAACTCATACTTGATTCAGTGGGTGGTGGCGCATGGCCGTTCTTAGTTGGTGGAGCGATTTGGAGTTTCGAAATTACACTGTTTGAAATTTTGTTTTGTATTTTATAATGTTTTCACTAAATGACGTGAATTCGAAATTCGGTTTGGATTTTTACAGAAACGCCCTGCAGATGAACTTTGTTACAAAATACCGACTAAAATTATATCTTTCCTTTTTGGTTCGCCGTAGTCGAGTAAAAATAGGCACACCAGCACATATTATATATTTTTTTAATGCAAAAGGGTAAAAACATGAAGTAGAGGATAAGTTATAACAATTTTAACGGCTGTTTGTTAAATTTGTGTTTGAAATTCAGGCTACTAAATTAAGGTTACTAAATTTTCCTTTTCAACTAATCAACTCGTTACAATATTGTACAGAGTCTTAAACCATTTCAAATCGTTTAATAAATGTGTCTAAAGGAATTGTCAATAATTTTTCTGCGACTTGCAGCTGTACAAACAATTTGTATTGTATTGGAAAATAAATTTATATATTAATTTATGTCTATAAAATTTTATTCATACACCGATCACCCTGATAAATATTTATAGATATGTCCGTATTTATAATCCACAGCGAACGCCCATTTTTTAGTATACAACACAACTTCTGTTACTCATAGATATGTCGTATAAAACTGAAATAAAAATAAACAAAATGAGTGATTAGTCTACTGTGTGATTGGTCTACCAAGGAACCCTCTCTGTATTATAGAAGATATCTACGTGTTTATTATTAGTTACGCTAAATGGATATTTGATATTTTTTTTCAACAATTATACTGATATGAGAATTCTTTTTTAGTTTTCACAATTCCCAAGATGACATGTAACTGACGTGCTCCATGTTTTTATTTCTCATCTAGGTCGTACAGTTAATATCATACCATTTGACCCAGATTATTGTGTTGTGTGCCTATTCCATGATAAACCCTGACATCTGCATCATACATGTAAACGAGCACAAACATCAACGACGCACTGTCAACATTAATGATTTTAATCGCCGCATTTTTGCCGCAAACATTTCGGACAGCATATGTTTATAGGATCTACGCGAGACAGAGGTAGCATAGTATGGCAACACAAGCGAAATGCCATGGGCTCTCAAAGTGAAGTGCCCTGAAGATTTAATTAGCATCGAAATGATACGGATAAGCTGTGTATCGTCCTGCAAATCGATATAGACCCATAACCTTTCACACTTACTTGGT